AATTGTGGTAATGAATGGATGGTACGCGGATATAGGATAGCTTAACAGGCTAGGATAGGAGATATGAAGAGAAAATGGGTTTCGATGAATCTCATATCTCATTATCTCAATCATACTTGTTTACTTACGCAGTCTCGGTCAAGGCTTTCTCTTGGGTCATTGGGCCTTGAGGATCAGAACCTGAGAGCAAGCCTTTGACGACTCTGATTTAGGAATCGTATCACGCACACATACACATACGCATACACTCGAGCAAAAGTCGGAGGACCAGTATGAAAGATAATTAACCAAACCACTCTATATCGATTTATCTAGGTTTTTAATTTTCTTTTGGCTCAATTGAGTATATATAAGAAGATAGAGCCAGATAGTGTTCTTGTCCTAGTGATAACGTGAGACTATTACAAGAATGACACCTAGCTCTGATGATGTCCATCATTGGATGGGCGAAAGCTCAGCACGTTTTCACCCGAAACGAGGGAGGAAGTCTCGTGGACGGCGTCAGCATGAATATCGTATCAAAGCCAAACGGCTGCAGTATAACGAGATTTATCCGTCCTCATCTGGTGAGATCGACCAACGAATCTCTTCTTCATTCACTTCATACTTCACTTTCCCATACTTCACTTTTCATTCACGTTCCCCCTAACAATATGATTGGAGAGATACCACAACTATTTAGCAGACAATTAGTTAAAGGATTGACTTCACTTATCTCTTTTCGGGTTGTAGTGTGGTGCTAGGATTAGCAAGACTCACTAACGATGCCGGCCAAACGTCTGATAATGTACCAAGTCCACTGTCCGATTCTGGATATTATCATGGACTCCGGATAAAGTGCGTTCAACTAGGTCTTCCTGAAAATACGACAAAGTTGCGAAAACAGGGTCAAACAATTTCTATACAACGAAAGGAGATTGGGGCCATACTAAAGACCACATCATCTTGGTCTTGATTCATTCAGTTAAAGATTTTAACTTAATAAACTTATCCTGAACTAATCCCTAATGCCGTAACTTTTATGTGCGTTGAGCTGTCAAACTAGAGAATGTGATGTTATTTTTCCAAAGTATTCGTCCCAATATTAATGGAAGATTTTATTATAAATGGAAAAATTGTACAACTATGTATTCGACTTCTTTATTAAAGATTCCCTAATATGCCTTTGCTTTTACTCTCATTAAATTTGTATAGTAACTAAAATTAGAATTTATATTCAAATAAGGGCAAACGTAGATATGAAATTAAAACTTATCTAATCCCATGATAAAAATTAAGGAAGCATTTAATGGAATAATTTTTCATGGCTGAAGATATGGTTTATTTCTTTGTTAAAACACTAGTTATCTTGTGTGCTAATGACAATATAATACCTAAAGAGTAAAAATACGTTAACAAGCTATCTGGTTATCAGATTACGTTCAAGACTAAGGATCACATTTGACGAAATACCCCTAAATAAAAACTTCTTGCTTATATTTTGAAACCCTTTTTTGCCAAATGAATTAACTAATCAAAATGATTAATAGTGTGCCATAAATTATTTTCACTATATTTTATTTTAGGAGACATTACCATTTGCTTTGAATGTATGATTTTTGCTACAAATATAGCTAAAATGCCACTAATACATTAAGGGGGGCACATCAATCATGTGACATCATATGTCTAGTTAGATGATGCCTTTCACGAAATAATTCTCCACATACATAACACTCTAAAGATTGTATTCCTCGTTTTGCATGTAAATATCTCGCTGATGCTGAGTTAGATTCCTTGCGGTATAGGAGAGGTCTTCTGCGTTCTTTCATCGGAGCACGCCATCTCTTCTCTGTAGATTCAAATGAGTTATCGGAAATTAACCCATCTAGCTCCGGCTTTATACCGTCTTCTTCTTTCTCTTCAGCTTTATACTTCTCCTCCTCTTCATCTTCCACCTCTGAGTCATTCATATTTATTCCTAAATTTCGTTTGCTGCTACGGCATGATTTTGAGTAACTGTGCTGAATACGCATGTGCTGAACCAGATCGCTAGTAAGTCTAAAGGAGGTAGCACACTTTGCGCACCAATTTTGAGCCAAATGCGCTGAAGCAAGAGAGTTCTTTAAGTCTGATGAAAAAAGCACAGAATTAGTTATAGGTAATATATTGTGAAGAATTTTTTCGACCACAGGATTGCGGGACTTGTTGGGCAAACTATATTTATTTTCTTCACATTGTTCGTATAGTTCTTGCTTTGATAAGGAAGAGGTGACTAAAGACAAGCGTGATGGGACATCAAACTTTTTAATAGCTGAAAAATTCATAGTACGTATTCGCGACATGTCTAGTTCTTCTCTGTGGCGCTCACGTTCATTGGATGCAGCTTTTGCTCCTGTAAGCTCATCTTGTTTTACATTGGCTTCTAACTTGCTTGCCTTCTGAAAAAATAGCTCGAAAGTATTGTCCAAGTGTGAATTTCTTGGCAGCTCAGGCCCATCTACATGTAGAAAGGTTCCCAGTATTTCATTTTTTAATGTCTTCAAATTAGCCTTGGTCTGAATATCATCAACGTTTGTATCTGAAACTAATGTGGAAGTGAGCGGCTCCCCCAGGTCCTTTACCCCCATGGCTTGGGCGGCTTTTGTAACATGATGAGACACAGAATTCCAAAGAGTGTAAGGAATTCCATGGTTATTTTTTGCTAGGGTAAAAAAGGCGGACTTCTTTGAAGGCCTTACATTTTGGGAGATTGAGGAAGCAAGTGGAGGAGAGATACGGAATGCGGAGTTTGCTTCTGTAGAAATTACGGAATGAGTGGAAGATTGTGTAAGTGAAAACGAAAGCGAAGATTGAGAGGTAGCTGGAAAGGAAGGATGAATTAAGGGGAGGAATCTGTCATGGTTCGTTTCCTCCAATGAGGTGGCTGTCGCCTGCGGTTGTAGAACAGATGAAAGAGGAGCAGTGGGTAGAGAGACAGTTGTGGAGTTGATTGCTGAAATACTCGTTTTCGTAGGTATGCAATGACACTTAAAAAATCGATGACATATTAGAGGATAGATGAATCGGAAATAGATACCACATTGATCGCACAAAAGGAGACTATCTGGAAAAAAAAATTATTTAGATTTTGAGACAAATTTCCGTTTAAATAATAAAGATAAAGGAGAAAAGGTAGAAATGTAAAGGATAGATGCATGAAATA